GACAGTAAAGACAGAAAACCAAAAACCTTGTCATTCGTGGGGTACACAAGCCTCCAGATGCTAACTTCCAAGCTATTCCAGGACAGCTTGTGAGAATTGGCCCACTGTCTGGAAAAATCTCCCAACCTCCATGCCCCAAACTCTCACTACTAGGAGATTTCAACTTGAGACACCTAAAAAGAGGAATATAGCAAACAATGCTTTTAGCAGATGAATCACCCCAGGAGGCAGCACAGATGAAAAATTCACACACTCATGAACTATTAAATTTCTGCACCAATTTTCCACCTTAAACTAGCAAATAGTAGAGCCTACAAGACTAGAGAATTTGCTGGACCTCATCTTCACTACCAATGACCATCTGATACAACATGTATGGTACAGGCCCTAACCAACAAAATTGAGCATTCATGAAGGTCTCTTACAAATCAATTTCAAAAACAAAACATACATGGGATCGAGTAAGACCATGTCCTAAATGAAACATAGCTATGAAAATATCCTAAACAACATGAGGAACAAAAATTTGTCTTGAAAAAGTTAATTCTGTGGTTCTTGATATCGCTCAGACACATTCCATTAAGGAAAAGAAAGAGAAGTTGTAAACTAGAAAGAGAAGAACGTTCCCTAATACAGACAATGTGAACAGTCACATAGCTAGCTGAGTGGGGCTAATATACTTATCTGAAATACGAAGGAAGGCACTAGTCAATGAAATTGCGAAATACGAACTTAAGGCTGAAGGAATCCAACAGGAGACAAGATCTAAACAGGAAGAACTAAAAGCCATAAAATAAAAAGAAAAAAAAAACAAAATACAGTGACCTCCGAGTTTTGGCAGTCTCGCTTTCCCGCGAAATTTGAACCTTTCGGGCGATTTTTTTGGAAAAATTTTGGCCCTCTAGTGTTCGTGAAAAAACTCGTGTTTCGGCAACCGTTTCCAGTACCCGTCCGCCATCAAAAAAAAAAAAAAAAACACCACGCCACAAAGCCATCTCTCACGCCATTCACACCAGTGAGCCACTGTTTACCAACACGTGACCATCACCCCTGTGGTGTTCATACAATACATTTCATAATAATCCCATTGTTTTTTATGCTTGCAAACTGCTAAATAAGTCATCCATGGACCCAAGGAAAGCCTATTGCAAGCCCTTTGGTAAATAAGTGAGTGACGGGGATGTGGAAATTGGTGGAGGACCACAGGGAAGACAGCTAACCACCTGACAACTGCAAGAGCTTCCAACGGAACAGCATCAACCACAGCTGAGGAACTTGCTTCAGAGGAGGAGGAAGAGGGTAGTGATGAAGGTGCCATCCTTCAGTATAAGGAATGTGTGGAATGTGGAATGAGTTGCAAAGTTTTGTTGAAAAGTATCACCCTGACCAAGCCCCTTTTTTGGAAAAAAAAAACCCCAAAGCAGTATCTGCAACATGTACAATGACAGTGTTGTGTCCCCACTTCAGTAAAATCTTAAGAAACGCCAGAAAGACCTCTCTGGATAGATATTTGTGCACCAGGTTCCAGTGACTCCCAAAGTTATTCCAAGTGGCATTAAAAGAAGAAGGGAAGTAACCCCAAATAAGGACTTGCTACCTAAAGTCCTAATGGAAGGAGATTCTCCTTCTAAACAATAGTGTACACCTGTCCTCCCTATCACCTCCCCCCATCTTCCATCCACCATAAGTCTTCAGTAAGGTAAGTGTAATGTTATTATTATTTATTTTAAATGCATGTACTTGATTTCTGATTGTTTTCATTATGTAAATCTTTATTTAATTTAATTATGAACAAAACCCAAAATCTGGTCATCTCAAAAATCTTGGATATTAGACTAACTCCACACGACTTTGAAGAGGCAATAAATGACATGCCCATGCACTCTGCCCCAGGCCCAGACTCATGGAACTCCGTGTTCATCAATAATTTAAGAAGCCCCTATTATGTGCCTTCAGCTTTTTATGGAGAGGGAGCATGGATACAGGGGTCATCCCACACACACTAAAAACAACAGACATAGTCCCACTCTATAAAAGTGCCAGGAAAGCAATTTTAAAGAACTACAGACCGAAAGCACTAACATCCCATATCATAAAAATCTTTGGGAGGGTTTTAACCCTTTCATGGTCTGTGCCGTAGATCTACGGCTTTATGTTGAGGGTCCAAACCATAGATCTACGCCATGAGCTCAGCTCACTCTGATAAGCTGTGAGTGGTAAATTTGGGCCTAGATATGACAGAATACATCTATGTGGTATGTGTGTACCACATAAAACAAATCCTGCAGCACACAGTGCATAATGAGAGAAAAAAACTGAGACCGTAATTTTTGATCAAAACAGCAACTTTGCAGTGTTTTTCGTATGTTTTTTATAGTTGTATTTGCAATTTCTTGGTCTCATTTGATAGAATGAAAGTTATATTACAGAAATAGTGATGATTTTGATTGGTTTTAGTGTTGAAAATGGCTTGAAACTGAGCTCAAAACAGTGGAAATGTTAAATTTTTGCCGATGTTCAAGAGTAAACAAATGACCTCACACGTCTAATACATGCCAGCTGGTGGATCTAATATATGTTCACAAATGTGCTGATATTATTTACACAATTATTACAGTATTGCATGACAGTAAATCTTCTATTTTTTGGTTTGAATAAAAATTCATTATGTGAATTAAAAATCAAAATGGAATTCAAGTGTAAAGCCTGAAAACATAACTAATGAACAGAAAAAGTGTTAGTTTATTGCCAGGAATGCCTGTATTGTTTATTCTAGACCCTATTTTGAAACTGGAATATTTTGAACTTTGCACTAAGTTGGCCAAATTACCAATTTCCAATCACTTTATTTTGCAGTTGAAACAGGTGGTTGGCAATTTCTTGTGCTCAATCGATAGAATAGAAGTAATACTAGTGAAATAGCTAAGAATTTGATCAACTGGAATAAGGTAATTGGCCTAAAATGGGAATCAAAGTCAGCAAAATCGCCAAAGCGTAAATATTGCTGGCACATCAAAATTTGCGAGAGCATAATTTCGTCAATTTTCCATCAAATTTCGTACTTTTTTTTTATTACCTTCAGAAAAAGATTCTCTACCATTTCATGAAGAAAAATAACAGAATTATTTTTTTAAAATTCTTGGACACCGGTGTGCACTTTGAAATTTGGCCTCTGGACCCTGAAAGGGTTATGAAGCAAGATTGCCAACCACCTAGATACCCATCAATTACACAACCCAGGGCAATATGGGTTTAGAGGAGGTCGTTTCTGTCTGTCCCAGCTACTGGACCACTATGACAAGGTCCAGGATGCTGTAGAGGATAAACACAATACAGATGTAGTATATACAGACTTTGCAAAAGCTTTCGACAAATGTGACCATGGTGTCATACCACACAAAATGCATGATAAAGGATTAACAGGAAAAGTTGGTAGATGGATCTATAACTTCCTGACAAATAGAACACAAAGAGTAATAGTAAACAGAGTAAGTCCCAGGCAGCCACTGTAAATAGCTCTGTTCCACAAGGCACAGTACTCACTCCCATTCTATTACTCATCCTAATTTCTGACATAGACAGAGAAGTAAGCCATAGCTCCATGTCTTCCTTTGTGGATGACACCTGGATTACCATGGCAGTGACCTCCATCAAAGACACCGCAAAACTCCAAGCGGACATCAACCAAATCTTTGAGTGGGCCACTCAAAACAATATGAAGTTCAACAAGGAGAAATTTCAACTACTCAGATATGGGAAACTTGAGGAAATTAAAAATGTATCAGGGTATATGACTAATTCTAACCATACAATAGAGTGGAAAAGTAATGTGAAGGACCTGGGAGTGATAATGTCAGAGGATCTCACCTTCAAAGACCACAACAATGTATCTACCACATCTGCTAGGAAAATGATAGGATGGATAATGAGAACCTTCAAAACTAGGGACACCAAGCCCATGATGATTCTCTTCAAATCTCTTTTTCTCTCTAGGCTAGAATACTACTGTACACTAACTGCCCCTTCAAGGCTGGCGACATTGCAGACCTGGAGAGTGTACAAAGAACTTTCACGGCACACATAAGTATGATAAGGCACCAAAATCACTGGGAACAGTTGAAGGTCCTTAATCTGTATTCCCTGGAATACAGGTGAGAGAGATACATGATAATATACACGTTGAAGGTCCTGGAGGGATTGGTACCAAACCTGCACACAAAAATCGCTCCCTATGAAAGCAAAAGACTCGGCAGGAGATGCAACATTTCCCCGATGAAAAGCAGGGGCACCACGAGTACAATGAGAGAAAACAAAATAAGTGTCTGGGGCCCAAGACTGTTCAACTGCCTCCCAGCATACATAAAGGGGATTACCAATAGACCCCTGGATGTCTTTAAGAAGGCACTGGACAGACACCTAAAGTCAGTACCTGACCAACCGGGCTGTAGTTCGTATATCAGCTTGCATGCAGCCAGCAGTAACAGCCTGGTTGATCAGACCCTGATCCACCATGAGGCCTGGTCTCAGACCGAGCCGTGGGGGCATTGACCCCAAAACCCTCTCCAGGTAAGTGCAACAGATGTAAGTAATGTATTATTGTTGTCTTCTAATTAAATTACTTGTGTGAATGTAATGTTGAGGTACATGCTGGTGATTTATTCCCCATAACAATAAAAAAGTAATATATTTGTAGTCTTAATGTTACATGAGAGGCTAGTGGTATTTACTGTAGGAAGTCAGGTATGGTAGGCCGCCCAGTTACCACACCTCACAATTATGTTTATTTGTTTTATGTTGGTTTGTGTGCAACCAGCAGTAACAGCCAGGTTGATCAGGTCCCAATCCACCATGAGGCCTGGCCATGGACAGGGCTGCAGGAGCACTGACCTTTGGAATACCCTTCAGCTCTACTCCAGGTATACATAACAGGCAAGATATATGAAGAAAATTGCATAAAAATTCACACAGAAAAACTAATTAACAAATACATAAAGTCTTACCTTGCAAGACCATTTCAATATCCTTCATCATTATTTCTGACTGAGCTTTGTAATATTTGTTCTTGACAGCGTTCACAATTTCATATGTCTTAAGTATGATGTTTTGATAGCGATGATTGTTGTAGATGGGCTTTCGACATTTAGGGCAAGTTTTCATTCCAATTTCATCAGTTTGCTGATTCAGCCAGCCCTCCAAGCCTTGCACTTCAATAGTGTGACCACAGTCCTCCAACAACACAAATCTGAAAATTTATATTATTATATTGTTTAGAAAAATATGACAAAGGAATTTTTAACCCTTAAACGGTCCAAACGTATATATACGTTCACTCGCGTAGCGCCACAAATTTTTTGAGAAAAAAGAAATCTTTTTTTTTTTAAAAGGAAAAAAGAGCATATGGTACCCAGGCATCCCCAATTATTTTAATATGGCACACAATGAGTGCACACACCCATTCTCTCATGTCTAGGTGACTCAGGCTTATCGTGGCCATGTTGAATGAATGACAAAGAAAACATATATATACGTTTGGGGCACTACGCGGGTGAACGTATATATACGTTTGGACCGTTTAAGGGTTAAATATTTAATAATTTTTTGTCATGAGATAAAAGTAATTCCCTGTACAATGATTCATTTTTGCAGTACAGCCTCTCCTCACTTAACAATGGAGTTCTGTTCCAAAGACAAGGTTGGTAAACAAATTCGTCATTAAGCGAGCAGCATATGTATTGGTAGTGGGTTTGTGTCAACCATCTTCAATTTTTTTTTCTTAACACATCGGCCGATTCCCACCAAGGTAGGGTAGCCCGAAAAAGAAAAACATTCATCATCATTCACTCCATCACTGTCTTGCCAGAGGGGTGTTTTACACTACAGTTATAAAACTGCAACATTAACAAACCTCCTTCAGAGTGTAGACACTGTACCTCCCATCTCCAGGACTCAAGTCCGGCCTACCGGTTTCCCAAGAATTCCTTCATAACTGTTACTTTGTTCACACTCCAACAGCACGTCAAGTATTAAAAACCATTTGTCTCCATTCACTCTTATCAAATATGCTCATGCATGCTTGCTGGAAGTCCAAGCTCCTCGCACACAAAACCTCCTTAACCTCTCCCTCCAACCCTTCCTAGGCTGACCCCTACCTCGTCCTTCCCTCCACTACAGATTTATACACTCTCGAAGTCATTCTGTTTTATTCCATTCTCTCTACATGTCCGAACCACCTCAACAACCCCTCCTCAGCCCTCTGGATAATAGTTTTGGTAATCCCACACCTTCTCCTAATTTCCGAACTACGAATTCTCTGCATTATATTCACACCACACATTGCCCTCAGACATGACATCTCCACTGCCTCCAGCCTTCTCTTTGTTGCAACATTCATCACCCATGCCTCACACCCATACAAGAGTGTTGGTACAACTATACTCTCATACATTCCCCTTTTTGCTTCCACGGACAAAGTTCTTTGTTTCCACAGGCTCCTAAGTGCACCACTCACCCTTTTTCCCTTATCAATTCTGTGATTCATGGACCCATCCTTCATAGACCCATCTGCTGACATGTCCACTCCTAAATATCAGAATACATTCACCTCTCCATATTCTCTCCCTCCAATCTGATATCCAGTCTTTCATCACCTAATCTTTTTGTTATCCTTGTAACCTTACTCTTTCCTATATTCACTTTTAATATTTTCTTTTACATACCCTACCAAATTCATCCACCAACCTCTGCAACTTCTCTTCAGAATCTCCCAAAAGCAACGTGTCATCAGCAAAGAGCAACTGTGACAACTCCCACTTTGTGTTTCATTCTTTATCTTTTAATTCCACACCTCTTGCCAAGACCCTAGCATTCACTTCTCTTACAGCCCCATCTATAAATATATTGAACAACCATGGTGACATCACACATCCTTGTCTAAGGCCTTCTTTTACTGGGAAATAATCTCCCTCTCTCCTACAGATTCTAACCTGAGCCTCACTATCTTCATAAAAACTCTTCACTGCTTTCAGTAACCTACCTCCTATACCATACACCTGCAACATCTGCCACATATGCCTTTTCTAAATCCATAAATGCCACAAAAACCTCTTGACCGTTATCTAAATACTGTTCACTTATGTTTCACTGTAAACACTTGGTCTACACAACCCCTACCTTTCCTAAAGCCTACTTGTTCATTTGCTATCCTACACTCTGTCTTCCTCTTAATTCTTTCAATAATAACTCTACCATACACTTTACCAGGTATACTCAACAGACTTATTCCCATATAATTTTTGCACTATCTTTTATCCCCTTTGCCTTTATACAAAGGAACTATGCATGTTCTCTGCCAATCCCTAGGTACCTTACCCTCTTCCACACATTTATTAAATAATAGCACCAACCACTCCAAAACTATATCGCCACCTGCTTTCAACATTTCTATCTTTATCCCATCAATCCCAGCTGCCTTGCCCCCTTTCAATTCTACCCACTGCATCACGAACTTCCCCCACACTCACAACTGGCTCTTCCTCACTCCTACAAGATGTAATTCCTCCTTGCCCTACACACAAAATCACAGCTTCCCTATCTTCATCAACATTTAACAATTCCTCAAAATACTCCCTCCATCTTCCCGATACCTCCAACTCTTCATTTAATAACTGTCGTCTCCTATTTTCAACTGTCAAATCCATTTGTTCCCTAGGCTTCCTCAACTTATTAATCTAACTCCAAAACTTTTTCTTATTTTCAACAAAATTTTTTGATAACATCTCACCCACTCTCTCATTTGCTCTCTTTTTACATTTCTTCATCACTCTCTTAACCTCTCTTTTTCTCTCCACATACTCTTCCCTCCTTGCATCACTTCTACTTTGTAAAAACCTCTCATATGCTAACTTTTTTCTCCCTTACTACTCTCTTTACATCATCATTCCACCAATCGCTGTTCTTCCCTCCCACACCCACTTTCCTGTAACCACAAACTTCTGCTGAACACTCTAACACTACATTCTTAAACCTACCCCATACATCTTCAACCCCATTGCCTATACTCTCACTAGCCCATCTATCCTCCAATAGTTGTTTATAGGCATACTATCGAAGATACGATACTATGTTCCACAGTCAGCCCTCCTGGCCCTATATCACTCTCTTATTTACCCCTATCTCACCTATGGAATTTGTGCATGGGGCTCAACAACAATTAACCATCTCAGACCACTATTACCCAACAAAAGGCTGCAGTCAGAATGATAACAAATTCCCACTACAGGCAGCACACTCCACCAATATTCAAAACACTAAACCTACTCACCATACAAAACATCCTTACTTATTACTGCACCTATTACATATATAGAACACTTAACTCTGATATTAACCCTCCCCTCAAACATCTCCTTGCCAACCTCAACAGAACACATGACCATAACACAAGGCACAGATCGCTCTTTGATGTTCCTTGTGTCCACCTCATGCTATGCAAAAACTCAATGCACATAAAAGGCCCTAAAATCTGGAATTCATTACCTGTAAATATAAAAGAAACACTACCTGTTTATAAATTCAAGTCTCTTCTCAAAGATCACTTACTCACCCAAAACCAAATAAATACTGAATAACTGAATCTTATAAATTGTATATCTTAAATGTTTGTCACAATTATTTTTTATTTTTTTTATTATCACACCGGCCGATTCCCACCAAGGCAGGGTGGCCCGAAAAAGAAAAACTTTCACCATCATTCACTCCATCACTGTCTTGCCAGAAGGGTGCTTTACACTACAGTTTTTAAACTGCAACATTAACACCCCTCCTTCAGAGTGCAGGCACTGTACTTCCCATCTCCAGGACTCAAGTCCGGCCTGCCGGTTTCCCTGAATCCCTTCATAAATGTTACTTTGCTCACACTCCAACAGCACGTCAAGTATTAAAAACCATTTGTCTCCATTCACTCCTATCAAACACGCTCACGCATGCCTGCTGGAAGTCCAAGCCCCTCGCACACAAAACCTCCTTTACCCCCCCTCCAACCCTTCCTAGGCCGACCCCCACCCCGCCTTCCTTCCACTACAGACTGATACACTCTTGAAGTCATTCTGTTTCGCTCCATTCTCTCTACATGTTCCGAACCACCTCAACAACCCTTCCTCAGCCCTCTGGACAACAGTTTTGGTAATCCCGCACCTCCTCCTAACTTCCAAACTACGAATTCTCTGCATTATATTCACACCACACATTGCCCTCAGACATGACATCTCCACTGCCTCCAGCCTTCTCCTCGCTGCAACATTCATCACCCACGCTTCACACCCATATAAGAGCGTTGGTAAAACTATACTCTCATACATTCCCCTCTTTGCCTCCAAGGACAAAGTTCTTTGTCTCCACAGACTCCTAAGTGCACCACTCACTCTTTTTCCCTCATCAATTCTATGATTCACAATTATATCACATAAATGTTAAACCTAAGACCCAATCTAACTTAGTTATTATTTAAATACACTACCTAACAGAATACTCCATTCTACTGAATGTACAACAATGCATGCAACCATATGACCTGTCTTTGTAATACTCATTTGTGCTTTATTGTTATTTGTTTACAATAATGTTTTATCACTGATTACATCATTGCTTAGTTAATCTTAAGTTAATTTTAAGCCAGCGCATAATGCTATGCATATAAGTGGCTTTGGCATGCTGCTCTTACTTGTATTTTTTGTACCTTTGTATGTATGTTCAAATTATAAAATATATAAATAAATAAATAAATAAATAAATAAATAAATAAATAATCTTACCCTAACTGCCTCCTGTTTTAGTTTATACACCTTCACCTCTCGTTTACTTGCTGCTTCTATTTTCCTTCTATCCCATCTACCTCTTACTTGCACTGTAGCTACAACTAGAAATTGATCTGAAATATCTGTGGCCCCTCTATAAACATGTACATCCTGATGTCTACTCAACAGTCTTTTATCTACCAATACATAATCCAACTAACTACTGTCATTACGCCCTACATAATATCTTTGATATTGCTTTAATATCACCTTTGCACCATTTATAACATTTCTGGTACTGTATATTGTAATAAACAGGATAGAGGAAATCAGCTCTAATATACATTATTTAGGTATGCATACTGATCAGAGAGCCCGTCATAAGTGCGAGTCATTGGTAAACGAGTATGTCACTAAGTAAGGAGAGGCTGTACTCGATTAACTTAAAAGA